CAGTAGACGTGGTGTGGTCACACTGACCAGAGGGCAGTAGACATGGTGTGGTCGGTCACACTGAACAGAGGGCAGTAGACGTGGTGTGGCCATACTGAACAGAGGACAGTAGACGTGGTGTGGCCATACTGAACAGAGGACAGTAGACGTGGTGTGGTCACACTGACCAGAGGGCAGTAGACGTGGTGTGGCCATGCCGCACTGCTTCCAGGTTCTCCAAGCTGCCTCTTGGCTGTCTCTCTTCTCTCACAGTTGAGGGCCTCGTGTGGGGTCTGTGGACGCATCTCAAATAGCCCCTGGCCATGTAATCTCGGGAGGTAGAGACTTCAGAAGAACAGTCTAATTTCCATATGCTACCATTTATTTAAATTTGAGTAATAGATATCTATCACATGAATTTTAAAATAGAGTATCTATAACTTTAAAATTAGGTAAGTAATTCATACTTGAAACAAAAACCCAAGTAGTATAAATATTTCCAAACTAAAATGTTTCCCTTATTCCCTGTCCCATCTTCCAAATGAGTACGATCAGCTCTGAGGCTGGAAGTTCATCTCCTTTTCAAAGGGAAGGGTGTGGGCACAGATTTATGAGGAGGGATGTGGTGGGGCGGGCAGCATAGAAATTTATCTCTCTCTCTCCTCAGCAATAAAAACCAACTGGGACTGCATTAAAGTGACTTGAGACTGAGAGCAGAAGAAGAAGACACCAGGGTGGGCCAGGACAGGGGTGCTTTAGGCCAGTGGTTCTCAACCTGTGGGTCATGACCTCCATAGGGGTCACACATCAATATCCTGCATATCAGCTGCTTACATTACAATTCACAACAGTAGCAAAACTACAGTTAGGAAGTAGCAATGAAAATAATTTTATGGGTGGGGGTCATCACAACATGAGAAACTGTATTAAAGGGTTGTAGTATCAGGAGATTAAGAACCACTGCTTTAGGGGGTTGGAAAGGACAAGACATGAAGTCAGTAACAGACTAGTGGGGTTATATCAGACATGAAGACTCTGCCCAGCAAAGGAAGCAGTCAGCAGGGTGAAGGAACGGCCCATAGGATGGAGAAAATATCTGTAAACTATACATTCGCCAAGAGTTAAGATCCAGATTATATAAGGAACTTCAGAAAGGTCACGAGCGAAAAACACAAATGAAACCAAAATAAACAGAGATAGTGGGATTCATAACTGAGCTGTGGACCTAGGGGGCTTTCCCAGAGAAAGCATGCAGGTGGCCAGGGGACATGGAAGGATGCCCAGAAGTCATCAGGAAAAGGTAACTCAAACACAGGAGAAGTCATGAACTCCAGAAAAAAAGACTGTTACCAAAAAGTTGAAAGACAGCATGCACTGGTGGGATGGGGAGGAGAGGAGACCGAGTGTGCTTGGCTGGGCGTGTATGTTGGTGTAGTTGCCAAAGAAGACAGTGAAGGTGCTTCTCCAAAACTCAAAGAGCAGCTAGTGTATGGTCCAGCAGCCCCATCACTGCGTATTTCTCCAAAGCAAGTCAAGTCCATACTTGTGTTTAGTGTAGGCTCACTCGCGATACCCAAGACATGGAAACAAACTGAGTCGGCAAACTTACGCATGGATAGGGAAAATGGGGCACAGACAGACAGTGGGTTACTATTCAGTCATGAAAAAGAATGAAATCTTGTCAGTTGAGATAACAGCTAGAACCAGAGAGTTTTCTGTTAAGTGAAGCCAGCCAGGTGTAGAAAGGCTTGTGCTACACGGCCCTCATATGTGGGAGGATATGAAAGGTCGGTCTCATGGAAGCTGGGGGGAAGGTGGTTTTCTGAGCCTGGGAAGTCTGGGAGGAGTGGAGGGTTGGGGGGGGGGGCAACTGATTAGTGGAGAAAGAAGTTCCAGCTTGTGTTAGTGCAGAGGGTGAGCTGTGTACTGCAGAATGCATGGAAGATCTTGAATGTTTATTATGAAGAAATTATAACTGTCTGAGAAGATAGATATATCTGACCTGATTTAAATGTTACACATCATACTCGCGTGTCCAACATCACATGGTACCCTGTAAATACATTAAGATTTCTGTGTTTCAGGCATTAGTTTAAAAGCCTCTAACCATGTTTCTCTGTTCTCTTGTAGAGTCAGATCACACTGATGGACATCCCTGTGTTCAAAGCCATCCAGCCGGAGGTTTGTACCATCTTTATGCACACCCACTAGTCTAGAGCTCGGGAGGGATGGCCTTCTGAAGCCTTCCAGAGACACGTGTGTCCATTTTGAGTCAGAAGTTTAGGTTCTGCTGAGAAAGCCACCATCTGGCCCAGTCTGGCAGGCAGACTGGCTGGTGACCCTGTCTCTACTGTGTGGCAGTCTCCTTGTCCTCCTTGTCCCAGGCTGTCCTGGCTGAGCACTCGCTGGAGAAGGGCACGTGAGGGCTGTTGGGTATGGAGCTTTCTCTGTGCTGCCCCACATCCCAGTGGTTGCCTTGCTTCTGCTTTGAGACTAGTTGCCACAGCAGACCCTCACGTGTTTATATTAAAAGCATATGTGCATTTTTAGGAGTGACAAAGGGGGAAGAGTCAATGTGGATTCTCAGAAATGAAAATTTCTGGTGACATTCTCTAGTTGGTAAGGGGGTTGTAATTATTTTACCCGGAGTTCCCTGTCTTTGCTAGCAAGTAACACAAATCCGTTTCAGAAATGTCTGAGAACCTTTCCCCAGGGTCCCCACGGAGGGAGGACTGCAGGTGTGGCCGTCCCTGCCATAGCTTCCACTTCCTCCTTCCTTCCTCTCCTCTCTGTCTGGGGGGTCCGCTTTGACCCCCCAAGGGCCCACATTTACAGCTTCCTAGACTGACGACGCAGCTCTCCCTGCAGCCCAGTTTAGTCATGTGACCAGTGCTCAGTCTCCTGTGGCCCAGGGGCTGTGGTCAAGATGAGCAGACACTGCTGATACGCCTTGGGGTTAGGTGCAGACAGGGAGACAGTTGAGAAGGGCCACTGCAGCCATGTGTGGATAGAGTACACCTAGCTTTACAGTTACTGCATGTCTCAATGGAGACAAACCGCAAGCCCAGCCATCCCACAACACAGGAAAAGTCCATACTGTTGGTGGCTGTGAAGTAACGGAGGCTTGTGTTAGTGTGTGCTTTATGCACTGCCTTTGGGGGCTTACTGTGCATGCTGGGGTTTTTTTTTTTTTTGTTTGTTTTTAGTTTTTCAAGACAAGGTTTCTCTGTAACAGCTCTGGCTGTCCTAGAACCTGTTCTGTAGACCAGGCTGGCCTTGAACTCACAGAGATCCATCTGTCTCGGCCTCCCAAGTGCTAGGATTAAAGGCATGTGCCACCACTACCTGACCCATGCACAGTGTTTTTAAATGGTGATGGCATCTTTTTCTGTTTCATCACTTATGTGGAACAGTTGCTTGGTCCCAGTTAATAGCTCTCTGCCTCTGGGAGCCTTGCTGGCTGGAGCTGATGATGGTTGCCTTCAATCTCCCATGAGGCTCTCTCTAGATCTCTCTGTCTTGCTTTCAGTCTTTCATTTTTTTTTTTTTTGAGAGGTGGTCTTCTGGTCTTAACATATCTCAGGCTACCCTTGAACTTTCTGTGTAGCCGAAGATTACCTTGAACTCCTAATCACCCTGCTTCTGCTTCCTACATGCTGGGATTTCAGGTGTGTGCTACCATGCCTGGCAGCTGAGGCTAGCTTTGATCTGGAACCCTTTTATGGTTCTTTGTTTTTCAACCTGAATGTCAAGGGTAGTGACCTAGTCTGTCAGGTGGCCCTCAGTGTCCAGGTGTGACTGTGGGAGGCAAATAAGGGTAGCAGGATGTCTACCACTCCAGAGACTCAACAGGGGCCAGACAAGACCATTCTCCAGGGCACTGCAGCATGGAGGGAGCCTTTCCAGCTGACATCTTAAGGTTGTTCCCAGATGTTAAAGTGCATTCGTTTTCCTTTACAATTTTATTTTGGAGCTGTAAGTCTCAGAATCATCAGAGCAGCTGCCAAAGCATGGGGCTCCCAGACTACCACCCCTAGGCCTGAATCTGCATCTCTGAGTCGGGCCCGAAACCCAGTTGGTACTATTCCACACAAGTCGACTAGGTGACTGACAGAGAGTGAAGAGCCACAGCCAACTGCTTTGAATGATCTGAACAACCCCAGGCTTGAACTTGTAGGGCCGATGACAAGTTACCTGAAATGGAGCCCAGTTCTCATTGTCAAAACAGTGGTTAGAAGGAGCCAGGAGCTGCCCTGGCCCCTTTGCTGCTGTTGTTACTGTTCACGGACTGGAACTGGGGTTTTTCCTTTTGGGGATGCCTGCCATGTTGTGGTAGGACCACCCCAGAGTGGGAAGGGCATGAATAAGGCGGTTGTATGATGTAGGTCAGACTTCCCAGGAAGCAGAGGCCAGTGTGAGAGATGCATGGGCACTGAGTAAGCTGAGCTCCCAGCGGGTCAGCAGCCCCGTGGACAGTGCCTTATGGGCCTGGCTGTGCGTAGAGTGAAATGAGTAAGCAAAGTGTCTGGGCTTCTTTGCTGGAGAGTGACTGATGTGCTCAGACTCAAAAAACAATGGCTGTGGGCTGTTCAAGGTTTGCTCCTATCTCGTTACTGACTAAAATTACTCTGACTTCAGCCCCACATAGATAATACAAATAACTGTGGCCATGGGCCATGTAGCCAGGACTTGACTCACGCCCATCTGAGTGCCTACTCCTGCAGAGCACATGGCTTCCACTTTTGCTGGTGTGGTTGTAGATTTGGTATCGGCGCACGTGTCTAGGAAATGGTTCTTGATCTTCCCCAGTGCTGGCTGGGTTTGAGATGGTGACTGGACTTCTTGGGTTTTCCTGGGAGAGGGGCATGAGCTGTTTCTCCTTTTTGGCCATTTTGCCAGTGGGCCCAGATCTCTGCTTCCTCCACCCCCTCCTCCCAACACTGGTGAGATATTATCATGCTGTCTGCTGACACTATACTTATTGATATGGGAAACATGACTTAATAAAAGATTGCTCAGCAGGGCCGTGATTCCTGACATTAGAGGTCTTCAGGGCTCTCATCTAGCTGCAGCTCTGGAGAAATTCAGACACTTTTGGAGGGCATCCGTTGGTGCTTCTGGGAGAATATCCAGGTAGTGGGATCTGCATGCACACAGGTGTGTCATGGAGACTTTGACAAAAGTGAGGAGGCAGGAGAGACATGAGCCCCATAACGGACCCGGCCATGTGGGTCCTTGAATTTCTGATGCTCTTAGGAGGAAGGCAGTCCCCTGTGGTGGGTGGTGCTCAGGGCCCTGTCTACTTAGACCCTTGCTCTGTGTCTCTGCCCTTCACATCTGATGTTCAGTGGCCCATTGCCTGTGTGCAGACTTGTAGATGGATGGGTGCTAATGTGGCCTGCTATTGGGTGCTGTGGGGTGAATGTGGGCTCTGGGACAGGACAGGCACCTTGGGTGGGGTTTGCATTGGCTTCTCTCAGCTGCCTTCTGATATACTTGCTGTTGCTTGCTTCCTTTTGTGCACTAAAGAAAGAGATTACTGTAAGGTACCCCAAGGTTACCATGTCAGTTCTCTGTTGCTGTGTGACAAGCTACCAGATGGACTGGGATCCAGGAATGGCCTGGATGGATGGTCGTCTTCAGGGGCTTACAGGAGGCTGCAGTCAGCTGAGGGTGTGGCTAGGTCTGGAGACCTGCTTCCACTGTGACATCTGGTAAGTTAGTCCTGGCTGTTGTCATGTAGAACCTTCCATAAGACTACTCTCAGGTCCTCCTGGTGTGACAGTGTCCTTGTGGTATGGTGAATTTCCCTAGAAGTGACCTAGAGAAGCGAGGTAAAGCCATAACGACTAAGGCCTGACCTTGGAGTCCTGGCCTGCCCTTCCCACAATATTTTGCTAGTTTCACAGATCAGCCCTATTTAGTGGGACAAGGGTTGAGCACGGCGAGGTCGGAATCACACGGACAGTTTGGTGCCGTCTCTCACAGGTAGTCAGCGTGGTTCTGAGACTTTAGTCATCGGGACTTTGCTAAGGACCTCACTTCTTTGAGTTTGTGTTTCCTCATTCATAGCATAGGGATGGTGAACACCATCCAGGGAAGCCATTTAAACGCGGGAAAGGTATGAAGAACACATGCACAGAGGCTGGGGCTCCAGAAGACGTAACTGTCAAAGCTCTAGGATCTGTGGTACATGCTGGACATTGTGATTAGTGTTCAGCGACAACTGTACGATGTCATCTAGCTCTCAGCTTACCCTGGGCGAGTCTGTGCACAGATGGTGGTGTAAACGCAGGAGCCACTTGTCCCAGTGGAACAGTGATGGGAGCTGTGTTGGCACCCTCGTGGCTGGCATCACTCTTTGGTGATGATAGAGACAGTGAGATGGTGGTGATGACGCTGGTGATGGTTTGTGTGTGTGCTTTGTTCGTGGTAAGCGGTCACTTGTAATGAACTTGTGTTCATACGGTCCGTGTCTTTCAGTTTTGCTCACGTTCCTTTGCTGCATAGCTGCCCTGTCCAGGTCTGATAGGAGCTGCCAACATGGACCCTGAAACCTGTCAGCGTTGGCTCTGCTGGCTTGGAGGGCTTCGTGCTTTGCTTTTTGGTTCAACAAGGTGCTTAGAGTTGCGTCAGCTTTGGTGTCGAGGCCTGGGTCAAGGCCATGTGTCTTTTGTTGGGACGGATTGTAGATGCCAGTCTATGTGGAAGATGGCAGTGCCTGCCTTTGCTTCTAGCCTGTTTGGTGGGTGGAGCTTGGATGGAACTATTTTGTAGGAGAAAAGCTTCAGCTTTATAGTTAGCGTAGCTGTAGTTCTCTCTGTAGCTCTGCCAGGCCTCAGTGTGGGTGGTGGACATTTCTTTACCTCATTGACTTGGGCTTGGCCCTGTGACTGGGTTCTGCTCAGCTCATGGCCCTATCAGAGCTAAGCTGCTGCTTAATAATCCCATGCAGCATGCTCATCTGTCAGAGCTGGGATGGTGTGGCTGCTCTCTTCCCAGCTAAGACTGAACTGTTATTTCCTCTCCTTGTGTTTCAGTTTCCTTGTGCATGATATGGGATCTCTCTTCTCTTCTCTTCTCTTCTCTTCTCTTCTCTTCTCTTCTCTTCTCTTCTCTTCTCTTCTCTTCTCTTCTCTCCTCTCCTCTCCTCTCC